AAATGTTGAAAGATTTTATTTTACTATATTTTGTTTTATTTATTTATAACATGATAATTACAGTCAGACCTCCCTAAATGCAACCTCCATAAATGCAATACCTTCCTAAATGTAACCTCCCTAAATACATAATCTACGAAAAACCTCACCCCAATCCATATAATACATATAGATTTTTACCTCCTAAATGCAATACCTTCCTAAATGCAAGAATTTTTGATTCTTAGTGTAGGCTCCTTGGCTATGCAGTTAGAAAGATCCGACTTTATTTATATAATGTATAAGATGTTTGATAGCCAATTTCCAGCATTGACCAAGGTGATCTCAATCAATAGAGAATTTTTTGACTACATTAGTATGAAACACAATATAGAAATAACTAGTATATCAATTTGTGAAAATTTTTAATGCTAAAAATAATAAATCATGATGAATATAATATATGAAGTAAATTGATAAAGTTAATTTACATGACTAAACATTTATCAGAGAAATTAACAATAAAATTATAAAATTTATAAAATCAAAACAGAATACAATTATTTTACACTAATTATACTTCATATCAATAACTTGCGTATTTGAATTATTAGGGATATTATTATTAATAATTGCCATATCATTAGACATGTTGGCATTATTAATGTAGTTAGTGTTATCACTATAATTGATATTATTATTGAAGTTTTTAAGATTCACACCAACAGTATCTTTGGTAAGATCAGAGAGGGCATCATTGATTTCAAGAATAATTAAAGCATTTTCAGCAAATAAGGCCGCGAATTTAACCCTAAGACCATACTTCATCCTTAACTTGTTTAAATGACCATTTCCATAAGCTCTTCCATCCAAATCAGTAACGTATCTTTCGTAGGAATTAACCCACCAGAATTTCCAATTGACAGTTGGATTTTCATGTTTGTTATATTGTGCAAAAAGTTCGTTTAACCGATTAGTAAATGCTATTGCGCGTTCTGCAGCATTTTTTTCGATCAAATATTTGCCGAATGTGGTTAAAAATCCGGATATGCCAGTGCCTACAGGTATACCAATAAGATTGCGCATTATGAAAGTGAAGATAAGTGATAACAATCCAGCACCAATGATAGCGATATAATATAATAATTTTTTTGTTTTGTGGGTCATTAGTTCAATGTCTTGGACATGATTATTAATCTGTTCAAGTCTAGCGGCAAACTCTTCGCGAGATAAAAAACCATGAAGGTCAAGGCACCAGTCTGCTCTGAACGAATGACCAGGCTGACAGTCACAACAAGAGTCAGTTCCGTGTACAAACAGAGGAATTAAAACTTTTTTCATGGCAAAAGATGAATAAGTAGTTTAATAAGGAGAGAAATTATTTAATTTATTGATGAGGGTTTAAGTGAAATTTATGGTTTAAAGAGAGAGAAGTTAAGCAATATATAGGTTTTTTATTAATTGATGATGGACAATTAAATTCTATTCAATAAAGTCGGGTTAAATTCCGTTATAGTGAATGCTTTGTATGCTTAATTAGTAGTATTATACTACTCAATTGTTTTTTCTCGTTTGTATGTCACAGATATATTTACTATATTTTGGAATTGATTTTGTTCCATTTCTGCACTTCTAAACTGCGACCAATTAGAAAAGCGAATGTGATAACTGCATTTTTCATCAATTCATTATTTTTCGAAATAATTTCAGACGTTATGCTTAACCTCCTTTGTACATATTATGTATTCCTTTTTTACCTTAGTGTATATTAAGTATCCTTATTTGGTTAAAGGGCTAATTTATTTGTTAACCCTACTTAATTTTGACCGGTATCCTTTACCATATGTGGTCATGCGGTGTAATATGTGGCCATGCAGTGTAAA